CACTTCTCATTTTCACGTCGAAGTTTATTTATATATGCGAGTAAATAATTGGGATCTGACAAAAACAATGAAAAATAAATTTATTGCTTACTTGAAATGATATTCAGTTTTTTAAAGTCTTACCTTCCATCATCATTTTTCTTGTTTTTCCATCAACCACAATGTGATATGTTTTGTAATCAACAGCAACGTGCATCTCCTGCATTGTCACCATGTTTCATTCAAATGTTGCTCCAATTACCCATAATTCATTTGGTCAACACAGGGATGCACAACCTTTTTTGAAGAAGGACCAAATTAGGATTAAGTTTACTGACTGGGGGCCGGACCTCCAAGCGATTAATGCGATGGCTGAGATTGGATGCTAACGGCAATCTTGATGTCTGGCGTAATGGCAGATGTTGAAACAACCAGCAGATTTTCTAAATTCTTGTTGGTTAACCTGTTCCGTTTTTTGCACTTGTTTAAATTCATAAGCGAAAATGCTTGTTTGCATACATAGGTACTGCCAAACATGCTTGCACAAAATCGAGCATTGTCTTTCAGTTTTGGAAATGATGTATCTGGCAGTTCTTTGTAGAATGTGAGGAGATTAGAATTTTTAAACTGTGATTTCAATTCATCACTGCACTGGATGTCTATTAACTCAAGTTGGACATCTGGAGGGGCATCTTCCACTTTCACATCAAATGGAGTTGAAAAAAGTTGCAGGTAGATCTTGTATTTCTGGAATTCACCAAACCTCTCATTGAATGATGTAAGGAGGGTGTTAACTTGGTCAGAGTAATCCATCTTCATATGTGGGTATTTCTCTTTCATGGCCTTGCAATGTGGAAAGTGTGTAAAGTTCTCTGATTGCATGTGGGACTTGAAAAGTGATAGTTTGGTCATAAATGCATTGATGTTACTTGTCAACTGAGAAACAAGTTGCATCTTTCCCTGCAATCTCAAATTAAGGTCGTTTAGATAAGCAGTAATGTCAGCAAGGAAAGCTAAATCACACTGCCATCTTTGTCCCTCCAAATTCCTTGTAGTGTTCCCCCGTTCTTTGAGGAAAGTGATAATAGGCCCCAATAGCTCCACAAATCTCTTGAGGACTGTTGCCTTGCTCAGCCAACGAACTTCAGTATACGTGGGCAGGTCAGCATAATCAGCATCTATTTCTTCAAGAAATGATGTGAAGAGTCGATGGTTGAGTCCATGACGGCGGATTAAGTTCACAGTATCATAGACATCTTTCAGCAGACGTTCAAATCCCAGCTTCTTTGCACAAAGTTGCTGTTGGTGAATTATGCAATGATACTGGACTAACTCCTTTTGCCTGTCCCCAAGGTGGTTTTTCAGCAAGGTGACCATGCCATTCTCACATCCAACCATAGATGGTGCTCCATCAGTGGCAATGCTGGATAGCTTGTCAAAGTCCAGTGCTGATTTGTTGCAAACGCTCAATAAACCAGTAAGTAAGTCAGCACCAGTTGTATGTCCGGAAAGTGATGCCATGCCAAGAAATTCTTCATTCACAATAAAATCTAGTGAAACACTTCTAATAAACACAATCACTTGTGCTGTTGATGATATGTCAGTGGATTCGTCCACAGCCAAAGAAAAATAAGCACAGTTTGCAACTAAAATATTAAGTTGGCCAGAAATGTCTGATGCAATTTGCGAGATTCTCCGTTGTATCGTCATGCGGTTAAGACTGATTGTTTGAAAACACTTTGTCTTCTCAGGACACATCTTCTCACTTGCGATGATAAGACACTTTTTTATCATATCGCCATCTGTGAAAGGTTTCCCATTCTTGGCTATTAAAGCAGATATTTCTAGGCTGGCTTCAACAGCCGCATCCAATTCTCCAGATTGTTTCTTGAACACATTTTGTTGGCTGATTAGTGATCGTCGTAACGATTCGATTTTCCGTTTGCGTTCCGTACCTTGCAGAAGGAAATCCTTGTGTTGGCTTTCATGATGTCGCTTCAGGTTGAATTCTTTTGGCACTGCTATTGTTCCATTGCACAAAAGGCAAATAATGCTGTTGTTCTGTTGCACAAAACAGTACTTGTTAGTCCACACTTCCACTTCTTGAAACTGATGATTCTCGCGATTGACCTTGCGTTTAATGCCCGGCGCCATACTGTTCACTCTGCAAAACAATGTCTCATTGTGCCGAAAATTCTGAGGCCCGCAACAAATCATGTTTGAGATAAGGCAAGCTAGACTACCACGTGCTTTGTTCTGTATCCACTCTGACCAAAGACTAAAGAGGCGGGGACAGAAGACTATTACGCACACGTGGCCAGGCAGGTCTTAATTCGTTCGACCCCTGTCCGGGCGTCTCCACCATTTCTCAGAATTTGTGAGTCAGATCGTCAACATGCCAGGTGCAGGACACTAATCCATCATAAATGTGGTTACCATTCTTACCTAAATTATATTTATGGCCCGTCAGTTTTACCCCCGTGTTCAGAAATGAATCAAAAGTGATTAACACAGTGCAGTGGAAAATCTGAATATTTTAAATATAATTATTAAAATTGCGATATCTCGTTTCAAATTGGCGCTAGAATCAATCTGTTTTTTTTTTTTTTTCTGTCCTAAATATATCACAGTTTACGACTGTTAAATTTCAAATAAAATAAAAATTAAAAATAATAATTTAATTTTAAATTTACGAAAAAAAGAATGTAAAAATAAAAGTAAATAAAAAGTTCCAATTAATTTACTACTTAAATAACCTAAATATATCTGTTTTCTTTCAAACAAAAGAAACTGCAGCTTTCTAGCTACATGGAATCCATTTTACAACCCTCTTTGTTGACAACAAGTTTATGGCTTGACGCGGATTGTAATAATTATTAAATTCAAAATATTTAGTGCATACGACTTCGTTTTAGTTGTATAATGACTATTCCAACTACAGTATTAATTTTCTTGGTCCAACTTAATAATAAATTTATGCGAAAAAAATTTTTTCTATTGTCTATGGAGATATATTGTAAATTATTGGTTGTTATAGGTTTTTGTACATTCCTTTATTGAACTCTGGTTAGTTTTTTCTAGTTTGAATGACATTAGGTTGAAAATTGGAATGTCCCAATTGTAAAATGACATTGCGCATGTGTCAGGAACTTCTGTTCGAACAAAGCTGACCTGCCGTCTGGGTCAGCGATTTTTGAAAAGATGGCAACACTATTTTGATCCTTATCACTAATTTTTTTCTTTTTACTTGATTGATATTTTGATATTTTTACACATTTTTCCATTCCAATAGATGAATCTATTTTTTTTTTTTTTTTTTGTTTATTTTCTTAAACTCGTCACTTTGTGGAGCAACATGAACAGACTCCGGTTCTTTCCATTTTGCCTCTATTCCACACCAAGGATAAATAAAGCTCAAATGTTTTATAAAAATTTGAAAATGTTTCTCTGCAGATTTCAAGTGTAATTTGAGATATTTTTTATAAATAAAAGAATACAAATAGGATTTGGACAATTCCTCTGTATAATGTACCGGAAGGTGTTTCCTGTTTTTTAAATAACCCCACAATCTTTTGATTTTGTGTGTGTTGGCTCCTGTTTTCGGATCCACAAAATTTTTCGAATGATTTACAGTTAAATGATCTATATACAAACCTTCTAAATCGTTTATACTGTTGTATTCTCTCCACTCATCTGTTATCAATGTGCTGCCTGAATTAACAAACTTTGAAATAATAGGAATGAACACACACTGAATTGGGTTGTTTACTTGGCATATAAAACAAGTATCATGTCTGCATACACCTCCTACAACCCACCTTGTCCTTTTTAATTTTCAATCCTTTTCATATTTTTTCTTTGCGATTACTGTTTCATTTATTTTCATAAATTTATTTAAACCGCCAATCTTAAAATTAGATTGGCTATTAATAGAAATTATCATAACAAAACATAAAAAGTTTGCCCAATTAACTGCTGTCTTTTTTGAGATTCCTGAAGCTACAGCAGCATTAGTTAGTGAACAGTTTAAACACAAACACAATGAGTACCAGAAAAATGACAAAATATTATCCCACGTCAAACGTCCGCATTTTCCTTTAAAGGTTTCTTGAAATGCTGAATAATTTGTTTTACAAACATTATATTGCATCGATACATTGTTTTTTTTTCTGCTCTTCACATTAACTTATGATGATTTTCACATTTGTTGCATTCATCTTCTACATATTGCAAATTTCACATCCTTGGGTATTTTATTATCTATTGCTAAATCATCGAAATCGGAGCACATTAATCAAAAGAATTGTCCAGAGGTACAATTAGTCCAAAATTTATCTGAATTAATGTCAGCAGTAGCCATCAACTCACAAAACAACTTCTGTGAATAAATATTATTATAAGAAAATTATTCAATTTGCTTCTCATTTCAAGTTTAAAATTATAACGAATAGAAACTTACCTATTTACTATTAAAAATTAACAAAAGGAACTCTTTCTTCATAAATGTTTAACTATTCAAAAAATACCCCACATGCAGGATTCTTAGTGTCACGCAGAAAAGTAAATTTACCTACGATAGTGTAATTTGGAAACAGCGCCACCTACAATGAATTTTTAATATCACATGGTGTCGAGATTACTGGAAGTGCAGCCATTGGGGTTTCCTAGGTAAACTTTAACCTGAATTTGTATTGAGTAACTTGTATAAAATATGTGATGTAAAATGTTCCCATTTACATGGTCTGAAAACAGTACATAGTTCCTTTACAACATAACACAATTTGAACTTTAATTTCTCAAACAAGCGAGTAACACTCTGGCACTCCACAAGCGAGCAACACTCAGGCACCCGACAATTAATTTATAATCACAACACTGGTTCTTGACCAGCCACACAGCTATACACTCTGGTTAACACACTGGTTAGCACTCTGGTCAGCACTGACTGACATACCAAAGGGAAGTGCACAATTTCTCCCTCTCTAGGTGGGACAATCTCACCCTGCATTCTTAGGGATATGATTACATCAACCCACTTGACACGGGTGACAATTCTGTGGACTATACATCAACACTTGATAACATACACACACCTGACGTGTTACAATTTTGTTTAATTGTATATAGAAGTTAATATAAATCAATTTTAATTTTTAACAATGCTGAAATTAAAGTAACTCCAAGACAAATTTTTTTTGGTATTAGTGTCAGCCAACATTGAAAATACACATTCTACATCAGCACTTCCATGTGGAATAATTAAGGCACTTTGTGCCACTTGTACAACATTTTTAAACAAATACTCATTGTTGAAATTTTTCATTTCTGCTGATTGGGTCCATAAATCACAAGTATTATCAAGGGCTTCGTCAAATTTTAAATGTTTAATTTTTTTGTATTCATTTTCATGTGTGTGTATATTAATGTTAATTTTCATAATTTCGGTAATTGATTTTAAATTGCTTATTTTATTGGCATTAAAAATATTGTTTCTATTCAAAAAATGTAAATTTTTATAAAAAAGGTTTCCAATTGGAAGTCTTTTAAATGCTTCACTAACTGCTTTTTGGAAAAACTTTAGACATTTCAAAATAAATAATTCATTGTCAGTTTTACTTAAATCATTAATCAGTGCTCTTGTGGTTACCCCAACATTAATTTTTTTGATAGGCAATAGATTAATTGGATTATATATATTAAGAGTTTCAATAATATCATCATAAGCCAATAAAGCTTTTGGTTTGATAAAATTAGAGGCTAATAATTTAATAAAATGAGCACTTTATATGTAAAGATGAGATATTAAAGACTTTTTGGATTGGAAGAAGGCATTAAACTCATTGAATGAAGGTAATATATATTTAAAAAATAATAAATAAACTTTAACATACAGATTCTGCATTTGATTAAAAATGAACTGACATTGTTGATTTTTCTTCTTCAAATTCTGCAACTTGAAAAACTTCAAACAACACATTCCATTGATCTATTATGCAATCTACACATGTTGATAATGCTAGCCATCGTGTTTTGCTGGGACTTACAATTTTAAGCTGTGAATTTTTCATATAATCTTGGAATTCAGACAGTATTGATTGTTGCTTTGGACTTCTAGAAAAATATATATATAAACTTCGCAAACTTTATTATTACATTATTATTTGCTAACAAGTGGGTTTTAAAAGATTCTTTGTCTCCCATCATTGCATTTCCATTGTCTGAATAATAACCTACTATTTGACTTTTGTTTATCTGATATGCTTGCAAAACATTTACTCCAATTGTCACTTAATTTTGAGTATTTAACTAATTTTATCCATAGTAATAGTCCAAGAAATTTTCTCATTTCCCCTATGTTTGTGTAGGTTTGGAGGAGTTGTAGACACCACTTGTGGATCTGCGAGGTGAGGAGGCGTTGACCTTTCAGTTAAAGGTGAACACGCTCGCTTTTCCCGCGAATGTTGTCAGAATGATGCGAGAAAGCCCTTCCGTATGGGGGTTCTGGTTTGCAGGACACAGAGACTCACACAGAGACCAAGTTATGAATTCTACGCATTTATTGAACTAAAAACATGCTTACAATAGAAACACTGGTCTGTCCTTCGAAAAGATATCGTACCAAATGATGGAGTGTCCTTCCTGGAGGCATGTGAGTCCTGCAACAGAAACGTTTCTCCTGCGTAGGTCGATGAGGGTTTTCCTTTTCGGCAGCTGGAGGAGGAAGTGGGCCACGTGGCACAAGAACTACGGCAATCACGGTGTTCTGGTGGAAGTTGATTCCTTAATTTAGATCTCGGAGAATTCTATGATGGGAAGTTTGGTCCGTAAACTCTTCTGCCGTACTTAGTTCGTTAGCCTTTTGCCCTGATAGTCCCGAGCTGACTCAACCGGAATGTTTGCTCCCAACCTCCACGTGTTCTTGGGATCTCGGGCTTTTATCACCTTTTTCTTCCCGAAATCCTGAGATTTTGGTTGGTTCGAATGTTGGTCCCCTGGAATTGTATTGGTCCTTGGTCTGGTGCCTGGGACGCAATTCGGGCTGCGGGGTCGCCGAATATCTTTGTCTGGGCCATTCCTTTCTGGAGTTGGGTCAAGCCCTTTCCTGGTTGACGGACCTGTAAATCTTACCTAATGTCTATTTTTCTGTCCCGGAGAAGACGCAGTTGTCCCAGCTGCCGCCCCTCTACAGGAGTGTCAGCAGGTCTCGCTTTGAACTCTCTGCAAGGATACAGTCCAAAGTTACCCGGCGGACGATCCCTCACTCGTTCTCACAATTGACAATTGCGGATCTGTCAATTAGGTTTGGAATGCGACAATTATATCATCTCGCACCCTGTTCCTTGGTCACACCGGTCCTATTTATGTAATAAGTCACCGGTATAATGACTTTAGCCTGACAGTTGGTTTTTTGTCTGGAGGGTGTGTCTCCAGACAAATTTTTGTCTCTCTCCATAATTTGTCTCCTCACATTTGTCTCTCTCCATAATTTCAGCCTGCTACTTGCAGTTAGTTTTATTTGATAAAGTTTGTGCAGCAATAATAAAATATGATTTTTAGAATGATTATATAATGTATTTATTAGACTCAATGTCAAGCTCAATTTATATACACACATACATATAAATTTATTATACATACATAGATGTTTTATATTTCATGTTATTTTTTAAACTTAAACTATAAATATTTTATATTTTTTATAAAAAAAAAAAAAAATAAAAGTTATAAGAAATAAACAAAATTACAGTTTAATATTACTTTTTAGAAGATATTTGACAACTTTTTTGGCAAAGCAAGTCATCAAAATTCGGTTGAATGTATTGAGCTGATGCAATTTTTAAAATTGATGATAAATGCTGATCGGTTAATCTTGATTTTTCTGAATTCTTGTTATTTTTCATTAAAGAAAATAGTTGCTCGCATAAATAAGTGCTTTCGAACATAGCCAGTATACGCGTAACAAATGATAACATTTTAGAAAACTGATCTACAGATAAATATGTATAAAAACCCGGAATTCCAACTTCCATATATTTTTGCTTCAGCAAATTATATCAGATTTCAATTAATTTCATTTGTAAGTTTTCATCAACAATTTCAATATCGATAGATACAGGTTAAGTAAAAAGACGAAATTGTAATTCACAGCTTTTAAAATCAGAAAATCTTCGATTGAATTCCGTTTCTAACAATTTAATTTGGTGAGCATATTCTGTAAGTTTTAATTTAGGTGATTTAAGCAATAGATATTGACAGCTTTCAAAGTGAGACAAGTATTCTTTTTCTATCTGTTTTCGCCAAAGTAATAATTTTTGTTTGAAAGCGTTAATATTATCAAATAGCATTGTAACAACATGATTTTTGCCTTGAAGCTTAAGATTAAGTTGATTAAGATGACTTGTTATATCAAGTGAGAAAGCCAGGTCCTTTATCCATTGTCCATCTTTTAATTCAGCACATTCATAATTTTTTGTTTTCAAGAAAATTATGATTTCGTTTAGCAATTTGAAGAATCGTTTTAACACTTTATGACTCGGAAGCCATCGAACTTCCGTATAATATGGTAGATCGGTGTATTCACATTCTATATCTTCCAGAAATGAAGCAAATTGACGATGATTAAGTCCACGTGCTCGAATATAATTTACAATTTTGGTGACTATTTTTAAAACACGTCCAATATTTAAAACTTTGCAGCACAGTACTTGCTGGTGAATAATACAATGAAAATGTTCAAAATTATTATTACCATGCTGTTTGCATGTTTCTTTTAATCTTGCAACAACTCCTTTAGTAATACCGGTTATGGTAGGTGCACCATCAGTTGCAACACAAACCAACTTTTTCAATGGTAACTTATAATTCTTCAAAACTTCCATAAGTGCATAAAAAATATCAGCTTTAGTGGTTGTATTATGCATAGGAATGATTTCCAAAAGTTCTTTATTTATTTTTAAATTAACATCGCATCCGCGAATAAAAACGGCCAGCTGAGCGATATTTCAAATATCTGTACTTTCATCAATTGCAATAGAGTAGGCTTGAAATGTTGATATTGTTGAATTATGCTTATTTCTCAAATTTTCGGCTATTTCATCAACTCTGCTAGCTACAGTATTTCGACTTAAACTTACACTTTAAAATTTTTTTATTTCTGCTGGACATACTTCCACCGTATTAATTAAGCATTCACTAATAAATTCCCTTTCAGTAAATGGTTTTGATCTACTTGTGATTAAATGTGATAATATATAACTAACTTTTACAGCAGCTGTATTGTCTTCAACACATTTAGTGAATAAACTTTGTTGTTTTTGAAGAATTGATTTCAATTCCGACAATTTGTCTTCACTAAGTTTTTCAATATATTGGTCATAGTTTCTTTTATGATTTCTGTCATAGTGCCTTTTAATATTATATTCCTTAGGAACTGAAATAGAGTTGTTACATATCAAGCATAATATTTTATTCTTGTTTTGGACACAAAAATATTGCAATTCCCATTTTTCTAGAAAATTATCATGTTCCTCTTCAATTGATTTTTTCTTACTCAGTGTTCTTGAAGTTTGATTATATTTTTATTAAATAACTTTTTAGTTTAATATGAATAAAAAACCAAAATCCACATTAGAGTTCAAAATATCATTTGCAAACTTTGTGACGACTTGTACAAATGTGATGTTCAAATATCAGTATGGCTGATGGCCACACAAAATGTGTCGTGTCTCGGATTAGATTGCTTCGCGTTCTATCATGTTTCTGATTGTCTGGCGTTTTTATCTCCATTTGGCTTCGGCCGCTGTTTTTCATTTGACGCCTCGCTCCAGCGCGCAGCGTCCCAAGCAATCATGCAACCACACACGACGCCAGCGTGAAGCAAAAAGTTTAAACTTTCCAACTTCAAACGTCGCTTGATATTTAAAAATTTTACAAAGTCTCGGTGGGGCGCAACCTATGTATTGGCGGGCTGCGTGTTTGACATGCCTGGTCTATGGCCATTGCTATTACGTCATCTACGTGAATTGCTAAATACAAGCATCTTTTATGACAGAGAGACAGAGATCGGCTACACTTCTTTTAAATCCTTTAGATAGCGACGTTGCATTGAATTTTTTATTCCATTCATTCAAGCCATATATATTTTTCAATAATTTGCAAACCATGTCTGGCGATCCTTCTTTGTATCCTTCAGGTTGTTTCATGTATACCTTGTGTGATAAGTCTCTGTTTAAGTAAGCTGTTTTGATGTCATAATGCTTAACTATCATGTTCTTAATTCCGGCTATAGTTAGGAGTGTTCGAAGGGTGGCAGTTTTGATCATGGGGCATATACGTCATCGTAGTCAAAGCCATACTTCTGTGTGTATCCTTGAGTGAACAAACAAAAATTGAAAGCAGTTCTCTCTAAATCAAAGAGATCAGAGACTCAATCCATGAGTGAGTTCTCTGATATTTCTGATGAAGAGAATAATATGGAGGGGACCCAACCACCCTCACCTTCAAAAGGAAAATTTTCAGTAAAATTGAAGAGGGACACTTTCGCGAAGACTGCCGCCTCAAACACATAATGGATTACAAAATAATCCAATGAAACTGTGTTGGTTTCTGCAACAACTTCTCTGACATTAAACACTTGACATCATCTACCTGATCTCTCTGTGTGGCATTCCAGGAGACTCATTTGAAACCTGGAGAAAGCATTACTTTAAAAGGATTTGATTACACCGCATGGATGATAATAGCCACAATTGTGCCAGTGGAGGTGTGGCTATTGTAGTTTCAAATCACATCCCATCCTTGCCGGTACAAATAACCACTGATTTGCAAGCTGTGGCAGACAGAATTTTTATTGGAGTAACTGTCACAGTTTGTTCTATATACTTGCCACCAGATGTCAGAGTC